AACGATTAAAAAAAAGAAAATAATTTTTTTTTTCTAATATATATAAATTATATCAACGAAATGAACGATCGTGATAGTGGTGTGTAGAAATCAAAATCTTTTTTCTGTTTTTTTTCCCCCTTCCTTTTTGATCCCTTTAAAAAAAAAATATATATATATATATATATAAATTTAGAGTTAATACGAGAAGGAGAGATGGCTCTTTTTCTTTCTTTCTTTCTTTCTCTCTCTTTCTCTCTCTGACTCTCTCTCTCTCTCTCTCTCTCTCTCTTTCTCTCTCTTTCTCTCTCTGACTCTCTCTCTCTGACTTTCTCTCTCTCTTTCTCTCTGACTCTCTCTTTCTCTCTCTCTCTTTTTAATATATATATATTTTTTTTATCTTTTTTTCATTCCTTTTTTGTTTTTGTTTTGTTTTAATGACTTCTGTTTATCTTTTTTTCTTTTTGCCCTTTTTTTTCTTCTTCTTCTTCTTCTTCTTAAAGAGAAATTAAAAAGTAACACAGTTGCTATGATAAAAGTGACAAATTTTAACCTCAGTTTAACGTTTTCGTAGCTCGGCTTGGACAAGGACGAGGTTAGTTGACACACATAAACACAAAAATACTCACAGGCTGACGTTTGTACGAATTAACTTTTGCAGAGTTCGATTTGTACGTTCGTTTTCTTTTTTATACACGTACACATAAATATAAATATACACAGATACAAACTTATATGCACACACACACACACACACACACACACACACACACACATGAAAAACATACAAATACATACAAGTGATTAAAAAGTCATCATCGCAGCAGCCATATGTTTTATATCATTATTTTTATCTATTTTCTTCATATACATGTATACATATATATACATATATATATATATACATATTCATAAAAATATATACATATAAATATGTATGTATATATATATTTATAATTTTTCATTGCTTAATTACACGAAATATATAAATACGGAAACACTTACACGCGCGCGCGCACGAATAAAACACAAAACACACGAAACACACAAAACACAAAAAACTTTCTCACAGAAATATTACGTACGTATTTACACTCCCGAATGATTCGCACTATTTTCACTTACTATATATACCTATATTTCTTTTTGTTCTTTCTTTATTTTCCTTTTTTTCTTTGTAAAATTAATATTCATCCCTTTCGTAAATTCCTAGAGTGTATATTATGAAATTTACATCGATTGTATATATATATATATATATATATATGTATATATATATATATATATATATATGTATATATATATATATATATATATATATATATATATATATATATATATATATGCGTCTATAAGAAACGATAGCGGACAATAATAAAAGTGATTTGTTTAAACAATGTAATTTGTTTAAAAAATATAAACAAGGAACACTGCAACCCCCCATTTTAATACGTAGGAAGCTTTAATCAAATTAATTTGCTAATTATTGGGAAGAATTTCGCTATGGAAGAGAAACGATCCTTCGCACAAGAAAAATAACGAATTTTTCTTTTTTTTTTTTTTTTTTTTTTTTTTAATAAATACATTTTTACTTACCTACCCTATTTTTATTTTCTGCAATTTTCCTCTTTCCGTTTTATTTATACCTTCTCGTTTTGATTCTTTTCAATCTTACCAAAATGATCTTTCTTATTTAGGAAAATATCACGAAGAAGCATATATTATTCCATGCGTGTCGTTGCTGTCGCGAGAGCAACTCTTGAAGCGATCAAAAAGAAAAAAAAAAAAGAGAAGAAAGAAAAAAAAATAAAAAAAAAAGAAAGGAAAGAAAAGAAATGAGAAAAAACGTGAGTGAGTTGGTTGGCGATAGGGAGTTGGAGATGGGGGGGAGGGGGGGGGGGGGAGTTAGGGAGAAAAAATGTAGCAAAAAAAAAAATGAGGAAGGGAGAAAAAGAAAAAGAAAACGAGCGAAGAAAAATTAACGTAGCGCAGCATTCGTTGAGTATACTTCGTGGTATAAAAGATTTTGAGCCTATTTTTAACAACGTTCTATCTAGTGCTCGGTGCTGCTGGCGTCGTCGTCGTCATCGTCGTTAGAAAGACAATAGAGCAAAGAATAAGGACAACCAACCATTGCCCGTGTGTCATTTTTGTGAGGAAAACAAAAAACAAAAAAAGAAAGATGAGAAAAAAAAATGTTCACTTTTTTTTTTGTTATTGATGCATTACAAATGCATATGCACGTACGTATTTGATTTACGATCGATCAAGCTTGGATGACTTTTTTTTTTTTTTTCTTGTGCGAGTAGATCGTTGCCAAAAGAAAATTCTTTCTTTTTTTCCATATATTTTTTTTTTTTTTTTTTTTTTTTTTTAATCTCATCGATTTGGAACATAAGCATGTATATGAATAAATTTTTACTTCTCTCTTTATCCAGGTATATATAAGTATGAATAATATAAAAATTATAAATATATATATAAATGCTTTTTTTCTTTTTTTTTTTTTTTTTTTTTTGACGATATACAATTCGGTCTATATTGTAGAGAAAAATAATTATTGCTGAATCGTTCTTATTTACAATTCCATACAGCCTATCTCTCACGTTCTATTTCTCCTACGTGTAAGAGATTCGTCATATAAAATTTTCTTTTATATATATATATCTTTTTTTTATTTTTCTGTTTTTTTTTTCTTTTTCTTTTCCTTTCTTCCTTTCTCACTTATGTACATTCTTTACGCATATTGTATATTATTTATATCACCAATTACTTCGTAAAGGAATGATTACATTAATATTAGATGCGAAACGATGATATTAGAGTTATTAGAAAGCGAACGATATCCTTCCATTATATATATACATACATATATATATATATATATATATATATATATATATATATAATATATAATAATTTTTGATAGATATATTAGCGAATGACTATTAGATGATTGTCCCCTGACAAATATTGATCTTTGCATTGAATTGAATTTTGTTTTATAAACCCTTTTTGATTTTTTTTTTCTTCTTTTTCTTTTTTTTTTTTTACAATTAGTATCGAATTAGTTAGAATTCGTAGTAGTTATTCCGTTAGAAATTTCCTTTGAATGAAAAATATGAACAAATTTATATCTATTATCAATATTTGTTAAGAATAATTATTATATATATATATACATATATTGCATAGTTATCATTTAGTAGTTAGTTAGCTTACGATTTTTATGAAATATGAAATTACGATTTATTTGTTTCGTCCTTTTTTTTCCTCTCCCGTTACAATACAGTCAACATTCAATGCTTTTAATTCGTTAAAAGCGATGCGGATAAAAAAAAGAAAATGCTTTTAGATCGTTTGATTTATCATTCTTATTTTTATTTATTTATTTATACCTTTATTATTGTTATATATATATATATACTTTTTTGTTTTTATTTTTTTTCTATATCTCAGTTTCCGCAAATTTTTATAATATAACACGATAAATTAAAAAAAAAAAATTCTTTTCTTTTTTCTATATGTCCTCTTTCAAAAACTATATAAATATACAGTGCTAAGTATTAATAAAAAAAAATATATATATATATAAATAGAAATAAATAAATAAATAAATAAATAAATATAAATATACATTAAACATTCTAATCGCTTAATTAGGGGTTGCAGAGTTGTTTTAAAGATTCTTTACGAGCGTTTCGATGCATCCATCCATCGTTTCTTATCATCGATCGATACTATCCAAATTAATTAATTAAAATTATATCTATTATATCACGGGCACGCATTATCGCACGCTTAACGAATGGAAATTATTTTTCTTTGCGATGCACGTTCTCTGTTTATTTATTTATTTATTTATTTATTTTTTTCTTTCTTTTTTCTTCTTCTTCATTTTCTAATCCGCGTTTTAAATATTACACGCGACGAATTCGATTAACGATAACGGAACACTTAAATCTTCACGGTAAAAAGAATAAAACAATTAATGAATAAATTGGAAGAAAGTAATATTAAAATTCTTTTGATTTTTTATCTAATTTCGAAAATATCTATTTTAAATTATTTGAGTGACGAAATGCTCGTAATTAAGAAACTAAATATTTATAGGGTCGTTTTTTCCTCTCTCTCTCTCTCTCTCTCTCTCTATCTATCTATCTATCTTTTTCTTTCTTTTTTTCTTTCTTTCTTTCTTTCTTTCTCTCTCTCTCTCTTTCTTTCTTTCTTATATTTTCGTTATAATCGTCCGTGCGAACGTACACAAGAACTATGCGTATAATAGCGCACGTGCGCGCGCGTACACAAGCACACGAAGAGACGTATTTTACACCAAAGACACAGAAGAGACGCAGAGGGCCAAAATAGAGAAACAAAGCATCCAATAGGAAAATTTAACAGCGGGATTTTGAAACGATCGTACGTAAGCTTTTGCCGTATTTTCTCTGGATATATCTCTCTTTTGTTTTTCTTCTTTTTTTTTTTTTTTTTTTAATTTTTTCTTCCCCCTATTTTTTCCCCCTGTTTCTTCTTTTTTTGTCTTTTTTTTTTTTTTTTTTTTTTTTTATTTTTTCAACGTTTCAAGACTACGTCGATTTCGTTCTTACGTTATCGAGCTTTTTTTTTTCGTAACTCTTCCAATTCTCTTATGCTTTCGTTGCAAGCTGTACAAAAACAAAAACAAAAAAAAAAACCCCCGTTTGTAAAATTGATCCAATGAATCTAATACCGATCGATCCATCCTTCCTAATCTCAATCCTAATTCTGATTATTTCGATCCATTGACACGTTTGTAATTACGCTGAATATTACATTTGTGGTATTATATTATATGGATAGTTCTTGCTTGTTGTATATATATATATAATATAGAGATATGTATGTATATATGTTTAAAATAAATGAATTAATTAATTTCATTTGATAAAGATTTGCATTATTGATCAATTTAAATGTATTGAACTGTGTCTCCAAAACAAAAAATTTAATTTCTTTTTCGTATATATATATAATAATAAGAATAATAAGAATAATAAGAATAATAAAAATAATAAGAATAAGAATAATAATAATAATAATGATAATAATAATAATAATAATAATAAAAAATTTGAATAATAAGAATAATAAGAATAATAAGAATAATAAGAATAATAAGAATAAAAATAATAATAAGAATAATAAAAAGAATAATAAGAATAATAAGAATAATAAGAATAATAATAATAGTAAGAGTAATAAAAAATAATAAGAATAATAAGAATAATAAGATTAGTATAAATAATTAGAATAATAAGAATAATAAGAATAATAAAAATTATAATAAGAATAATAATAAGAATAATAAGAATAATAAAAAATAATAATACTACGTATACATTGAAGAATACTTTGTGTATTGTATTATACACGACCATATATATATATATAAATATATTATAATATATATATATATATATATATGTATATATATAAAATTGTGTTACTTGTGTCGCTTGAACGCTTCGTCTTTCCAACTACGTATAATAATCTGCCTTGTGTATATACATATTTGTATATTTGTCCATATGTATATGTCGAGCAAATATATTATGGATTTGCATGCGCTGAAAATAAAAAAAAAAAAAAATATGTTTCTTATTAAGAGAAAAATTTTAATCAATTTTGTACTTCTTCGAACGTACACATACATATTCATACACACGCACACACATATATATACGTATGTATATATATATATATCTGTGTGTGATTTGTATTTATATATATATTGTACATGTTACATATATATATATATATATATATATATATATATATATATATATATATATATGCGCACACGTCGTTTGTGTGCGAGAAATATATACATGATTTTAAACGGTGAGAAAAAAAATCCACTGCCAAAAAATTATTTCGAATTTGGCTTGTTACGTCACGTGATTCGTCCATATCGATAAATCGTGATGGTATTACACTTACGTCGTAATTTGTGAAAATTTGAACGCGACAATAAAAAAAAAAAAAAAAATGGAAGAAAAAAAAAATTTGACATTACCCGAGAATAAATTAATAAATGAAATTTCACAATAACTACTGATCGATCCCGTGATTGATCTCGAAAGATCGATAAATCGATCGATCGATCGATCAATCTATCTATCTTTATCATTGTCAATCAGAATAAGGTAGATGTATATATTACGATAATTTGAATTTCCATTGAAAACTCTTCGATTCGGAAGTTGCCCCTAGGAGTTTTGTATCGATCTATCACAGGTAAGGAATAAAAAGAGGGAGCATGTAATAAAGACCTCTAACTTATTTTCATCATCTTCTTCTTCTTCTTCTTCTTCTTCTTTTTTTTCTTCTTTCTTTTCTTCTCCTCACCGCTCGCCCCGCCCGCTCACTGCCCTATAATAGCATTTATCATGCCAAAAATTAATGTCGATAGACAAGGTAATTTTCTAAAAAAAGAAAAAAAAAAAAATAAAAAAGGAGAAAAAAAAAAGAAAAGAAAATACAAAAAGTTGGAACGTTACAATCGCTCGACATAAATTTCTTTTTTATTTTTATTTCTTCTTTCTCTTCTTTATTTTTTTCTTTTTTTTTTTTTACTACTACGAAAGAACATATCATTTAGTAAATGTAATAACGTATAGAACGACTTTATTACATATATATATATATATATATATATATATATATATATATATATATATAGGTCGGTACGATATACATGGATATATTACATAAATATATCGCAACCGAGTAACGATCGAGGTAATGGCAACGCGAATAGAATTCATCTTACTCCATAAAATATAGAAGTGAAATTGGCTAGGGAATGGAGAAGGAGAGTGAGAGAGCGAGAGAGAGAGAGAGATAGGATGAATAAAAAAGAAACGAAAGGAAGGAAAAAAGATTAAAAAAAAGAAAATGTTAGAAAGATGAGGACGAACTTTGACATTTTTTGTCGTAATCTCTATAACGTTACTTACATTGAAATATTGAACATCGTTCATCTCGTACAGTACTCGGTAACTTTCTATGAATACTCGGTATTATTATCCATGAATATAAAGAGAAAGGAAGAAAGAAAAAAAAAAAAGAGAGAAAAGAAAAAGTGAAAGTAAATGAAGAAAAAATTGAAGGATTTATATCTCCCGATCGAGTTTTTTTTTAATAATATTAAATGTCCTTTTAGATCGAACGTTTTCATTGGATATTTAATTAAAATTATTATAGTGTATTTATTACCTCGATCGAATATGATTATTCTTTTTTCTTTTTTTTTTTTTTTTTTTCTTTCTTTTTGTAATTTTACTTAATTATTTATTAATTAATCAATTAATTTCATTGCTCTCGAGCTATTGAACGTTCACTTTTTCAATGTTCGCGCTATCGATCGGTAGATAGATAAGGAGATAAAGCCAAAAAAAAAAAAAGAAAAAGAAAAAGAAAAAAAAGAAAAAAAAGAAGAAAAAAAAAGAGAAAAAGGAAAAAGAGAGAGAAAGAGAAAGAAAAATAAAAGGATAGAGGGAGAGAAAGAACAGAAATAGAAAAGAAAACGATATAATTGAAATGGTCGGTCAGCCGTGTTAGATGGACAAAATGACGCGTTCTTTTCAGACGACGACCTTGATCGGACTTCTCAAGACTGCACGTCTTCTACGCTTGGTTAGGGTGGCCAGAAAAATCGACAGATACAGCGAATACGGAGCCGCGGTTTTGCTCCTTTTAATGGCCAGTTTCGCGCTCATTGCACATTGGATGGCCTGTATATGGTGAGTTAGAAAACAAAACAAAACAAAAAAAAAAAATAAATAAATAAAAAGAAAAAGAATTTCTCCTTCCCTCTTACCCGTCCGCCACTCCTGGCAAAAAAAAAAAAAAAAAAAAAGAAAAAAAATAAGAAAACCTGTTTACATTATTCAGAGATACGAACGACGATACAAATTATTTTACATTAATAATTGATAAAAATAAATTGATGAATTTTGTTTTCTTTCCTTTTTTTCTTGCCCCTATCCCCAAAAGGTATGCCATAGGAAATGCGGAAAGACCGACCTTGAAGAGTAAAGTCGGTTGGTTGGATATCCTGGCCAACGACACTCATCAATTTTATTTTCACAACAATACAGGTGGACCGAGTATAAAGGTAAAGAAAAAAAAAAAAAAGAAAAAGAAAAATAAATAAATAAATAAAAAAGTAGAAAAAATCTCTATACGATCTCATCGTGAAAATTTTCATTTACTTCATTGCAATTATTAACATTATCTTTCGTTACTTTTTCAGAGTCGTTATATAACAGCACTCTACTTCACATTCAGCAGTTTAACGTCCGTCGGTTTTGGTAACGTTGCACCCAATACGGACGCTGAAAAAATATTTACTATTATCGTTATGCTGATAGGATGTAAGTATATAAAATTTCAATCGAACAAAAATGTTATAATATTATTACAAATATAATGTAACGCTGAATAATCTTTTTCTTTTTTTTTTTCCTCTCTTTCTCTCTTTTCTTTTTTTTATCTTGTTGTTTTTTTTTTTTTTTTTTTTTTTTTTTCATAGCTCTAATGTACGCCAGTATCTTTGGCAATGTATCGGCGATCATACAAAGATTGTATAGTGGTACAGCAAGATATCATACGCAAATGCTCAGGGTTAGAGAATTCATAAGATTCCATCAAATACCAAATCCACTTCGACAACGTTTGGAAGAATATTTTCAACATGCCTGGACTTATACCAACGGGATTGATATGAACAGCGTACTCAAAGGATTCCCCGAGTGCCTTCAGGCTGACATTTGTCTTCATCTCAATAGAAATCTGTTAAACAATTGTAGAGCCTTCGAGGGTGCCAGTCCAGGTTGTTTAAGGTATATAATAAATTTAATCACGACGAATATATTAAATCGTTCATTTGCCAAAATGGATTGACTATTAAAAAGAAAAAATGAAAAATAAATGAAGAAATGCGATAAAATAATATAAATTACTTTTTATAATTTCCATTTAAAATATAAATTCGTAAAAACATTGTAGAATATATGATGAAGGGTCTTGTTGGTACATTTGAATGATGAATTATTGTAATGATTTACATTAGAGGATGGAATTAATCAGATTGATTTCTGATAATAAATTTTTTTTTTTTTTTTTCATTCGATGATCTAAAAAAAATTTTCTCTTTTAATGATATCGAATGATCTATTTGAAGATTAGGGAAATTTATTATGAATATAAAAAGTGATTACAATCGTCAAGCTCGTTGACGCTTGAATTTAAAGTAATTCAAAAAGTGGAATTAATCGATTCGCCTTGTGAACGGTTCGATATATCGATCAAAAGAGAAATAATTTCTAATTTTTAACGAGAAAAAAAAACAAAGAAAAATAATAATAATAATTTCAATTTTTTTTCTCTTTTCAATTTAATTCTTTACGCAGGGCATTGTCTTTAAAATTCAAAACTACGCATGCACCACCGGGTGACACATTGGTCCATCGCGGAGACGTCTTGACGTCCCTTTACTTTATATCACGTGGAAGTATAGAAATTTTAAAGGACGACATCGTAATGGCCATACTCGGGAAGGACGACATTTTTGGTGAAAATCCTTGTATTTATCCAACAGTTGGAAAATCCTCGTGCAACGTTCGTGCTTTGACCTATTGCGATCTTCATAAGATTCACAGAGACGATTTACTCGACGTTTTGGCACTTTATCCTGAATTTTCAAATCACTTCAGTCAAAATCTAGAGATTACATTCAATATGCGAGATGTAAGTCCTATACACCCATAGTTAAGATTAAAGTTTATTATTTCTTTTTTTTTTTTATTTATTTCATTTTCCTCTTCTTTTTCTTTTTTTTTTTTTTTGTTTTTTGTTTTAATCAAACCGCGAAGAGAGATCCTTCGATCTATTGAAATATAAAATTATACATTTGATAGGAAGAACAAGCCGGTGTTGATCCAATGTCAGCAAGGTTTCCTGTCAGCACTCCAACCGACGTCGACGTCGACGCCAGGAGATTCGCCTTCCGTCCACCAAGATACCGTCGAGGACCTGGAGGAGGTCCTGGCACCAATCTTATCCCTACCGGTCGACAAGATTCCTTGCAGGACGATCAAGAAGACTAGTAATTATCCTTTCTATTTGCTCACTTTTTCTTTCTTTTTTCTTCTTCTTTCTCTCTCCCTTTTCTTTTCTTTTTTTTTTCTTTTTTTTCTTTAATTCATTTATTTCACTCACATCGAAATGTCGTATATTTATTAAATGTAAAATTAATATTTACAGCGACAAAAGTAGCGGCCACGGTATATTAGAATTTAGTACCGACAAAGCTGGTCAAGATGTTACGCCATTAAATTTGGAATTCGATGAACCGAAGCAAAGGAGTTCAACATTGAATTCTATTACCGGTGAGCAAATCAATCTCATCTCCCATAATATATCCCATTAAGTATTTTATTATTCAGAATCGACCTTTCAATTTTCGTGCCTGTCTTTTTCTTACTGTTTGAGGAATGTGGTTTACTGCACGATAATAGATCCCCCCTCGATCGATACGGATATTATCATCTCTCGATCCGCCTATTTTTTTTCTTCTTCTTTTTCTTTTTTTCTTTTTTTTCTTTTTCTTTTTCTTTTTCTTTTTCTTTTTTCTCTCTTCATTATCAGAACATCTCGTTCTTTTTTTCTTCCTTTCTTTTTTATTTTCCTTTTCTTCTTCTTCTTCTTCTTCTTCTTCATATTATATCTTGCGCGTGATGACACATATTAAAGAAGGATTAGAAAAAATGCGTGCGAAGATTTTTTATTTTTCTTAATATTCGAACTATTGAAAGTGGGATCTTTCTTGAAGATAAATGTCTTAAGCGTTTTCATTTTTTTTTCTTCTTTTTTTTCTTTTTTCTTTTTTTTTTTTTTTTTTTCTCTTTCATTCACATCCCTGGTAGATTTGTTCGAAACTACGTTTGACTCTTTCTCAGCTGGAAATATTATACGATGTTTCGGTTTTTACATTATCGAAACAATTATACCGAAACATTTATATAGCCCTCGCCCCGAACGCCCGCCCGCCCCCACCCCACCCCCCTCTGGCCGCCCTTTCTATCTTCCTTCTTCTTGCTTGTAAAAGTTTTACTTTGTAAGTGAAACGAGGTGTGTTACGCTTTGCGGTTGCGTTTGGTTTTTTTTCCCGAGTTCGTTAACACCTTGAAAACATGGTTGTTCAGGCATGCTAACCCATCTCAAGCGCAGTATACCGGACCTACGACAGCACAAGATTCATCTGCAGCCTCTAACGAGTCATGATTACCTCGCCAAACAGAGTAAGTTTTTTTATCGCAAGTAGAATCCCTCTTTTAAGCTGAGATCATTGGGTCAGTAAGCCCGCGCACCGTTATGTGTTTATGATACCTATATCATTAGAGAAAGAGAGAGAGAGAAAGAGAAAAAGAGAAAAAGAGAGAGAGAGAGAGGAAGAGAGAGAGGGAGAGAGAGAGAGAGAGATACAGATTAGAAAATTATTATTATTATTATTATTATTATTATTATTATTATTATTATACGGAATCCAGACTTCAAGTTGGGAGACATCATTTACGAGAGTATATAAAATAAGTTTATGGATCGATTCCACTTTCTAACGTGAAGTTACAATCATAGCTTTGTCCTTTAGAGCATTTAGTTGTAATATATCTTAAACGGCGATCATTGTATATACATTATCATTGTACATTATCGTAACATATAAAATATCTTATAATATAAACGCGATGTAATTCCTAACATATAAATTATCTTATTTTGTATCAGTGACAACGCCATTGACAAAACAAACACGTAGAAGTTCTGCCACCGGTGAAAGCTGCCTCAGTCAAAATGCAATACATCCAACGTCTACTACATCCAGTCATTATACAACCCCATCACCGCCACAACATCCTCATTCTCATGGTATTTATCAATGGCTAATATCTTGATATAATTATAACATGATCCACGTTCTCGTTTGAACATATATATATACACATATATATATATATATATATATATATATATATATATATATATTAAAAATTTTTTTTTTGTACGATTTAAGGAGACTTTCAAAGTGGACCTGGACGACCTATTGAAGAAATAAATGCTAGGATAGATCAATTGTCGAAACAAGTGACTTCATTGGAACACTCAATGACGGGGGATATAAGATTGATATTGACGTTGCTCCAACAGACTCTTAATTCCTCAAGGGAGAGTTCTAGCATAGAAATGATGCCTGGAACTGCACCAGCAGGTTCTGGTAGACAAACTGGTAGACCACCGGCACTCGTTCAAAGATCAGCCAGCGAGCCCCAACCACCAACAACTCCAGCCATTTCGAATAATGGAAATGGAAAGATCCAACCAAGCACGTCTCATGGATTATTTAGGTAAAATAAAGATCATTCGAGAGATTAAATTGGGTGGGCCGGGGTTGGGAGGGAGGGAGGGAGGGGTAGGTG